AGCGAGACGCCTTCTAAAAAACGTTAACATGTATTACCGGCACGCAAAACCTTAAATTAAAGTGAATAAATGAAGACTCAGCACACCACTTGTGAAAGGTTGCCTACCCCTGCACTAGTTGAAAATTCCTCTCCACCAGAAACTACAATAATCAGAATAGCTCCTTCAGTCAAAGTTGGGGCCAGACTTCTCTGTGTCCTGTGCCTCTTGTGCTTGAGAAAGTCTTCCTGATGCGTTAATTGACCTCTGGCCTACTCTTTCCTCTCACTGAATACTTTTGAAGTGGGGAAAGCTGGGGTCCGTAGGGCACAACTTCAGGTCTCCGTGGCAAAGACCAGGAACTTCAACCCAGTTCTGACAAATGAGACCAACTTCTTTGATTACAGTAGTAATCCATAATGTGGGCATTTGCTACTCCTATAATCTCTGCTAGTTACCTCGCCAAAAAGGGAGCTGTTCTGCTACTTGTCTCAGTAAGAGCAGTGCTGGGATTCAGTGGGCAAAGCAATGCCAGAACTGGGTTCAGGTTAGTACAGCCAAAATTCTTTACATGCTTACTGATGCTGTTATTAACAGCCAGGCCCAGGAGACCGGGCTTCAATCCATTAAGCCCATAATGGTGGGTACAGAAATGTAGACTGAATTCATGGTTAGGAATTACAGATCTATTATATGAAATAGCATGTGGGGGTTTTTCAGCACAGTTCCCGTAGATTTCAGTGGAAGTAACATTCAAACCCATTGTGTAAGTGCTTTGAAAAAATATGGACAAATGTAATCTCTATATTAACCATGATTGTCTATGTGCACTAGAAAATATTATAGTCACAATAATATGCTAGAATAAAAAAAATGGTCACCGACTGGCTCAACAACGGAGGTCGCCACATCAAAGAGAATCAATGGCTCTGAGTTGGTTGGATCTTCACGGACAGTTTCAAGCTGATTTTTTTACAAAGGCGAGGAGGAAAAGAAAAAAATCTGTTTTTATTAACAGTTCAATAGCTTCAGTTTTCACCATCATCAAAATCTACCATGAATTTCAGATTCACGTTGGGATGCTAGAGACAAATGTTTCGAGAGCCTAAATATCCAACCATAGTGGCCTAGCTGCAATGTACCAGAGGCCCAGACTGGCTTTTCCCCCACTTTCTGAGTCAAGGAATCATAAAGATCAGAGGAAGAGGCTAAGGGCCTGAAGCAATGCCCATTGAACTGAATGGAAACACTTCCGTTGATTTCAATGGACTTTGGGTCAGGTGCAGTTTCAAGGAGGGGCTTAAAGCGACTGCTGGCAGTTTCATCGACCTCATGAGAAATCTTCTGTCTTGTCTCCCAAGCTATTTGTTGCAAGGAAGTATGCACTGGTGTGTGTGGAGGAGAGGGGGCAGAAAGGAAGAAAGTATGCAAGAAGAAAACATAGGAGACCAGACTGAAAGTGCCGAGGGTCTCAGAATACCAAGGAGAGAGAAAATATGGGCAGATAGTGCTTCTTAATGTTAAAAACGAAGATGAATTGCTCCTTTACAAAACATACCAGAACTGTTAACTGATATTTCAAGATTATTAAAAACCTCTGCTTTTGAAAAAGCCTATTATCCACATGACCCATCTCCTATCATAACCCTCTTCATGCATAAATCCAAGAAATCATTTCTGTCGTACTGTATTTCAGCAATTACAAATAAGGATGCTCTTTAAACTACCTGAATTTATGATGGATGGAAAGGGAAGAAAACCGGAAGAAAACATATAATTGATTGCATTGGTAATAAAATATGTTCAGTCGCTTGTGCTCACATGTATGAACTGTATTTCCTGAATAGCCGAGCCACAAATTAAATTATGAAAGCGAATCATTGCACTCCCCAGAGACAAAGATGAATTACTCCCTTTCTGAATCATATTTACACAGTGTATTATTTTTCAAAATAAAAATATCAGTTAGGAAAAAATCCGAACCCTTCAGTCAAAATAATTTCGGGTCGGTTTTGAGGCAAGGTTTTATAAGTCATTAATCATGGATAATTGGGCACATCTAAGCCCAGAGAGCTCTGGCTGCTACAGCTCAGCACAAATACTGTAAGTCCCAGATTAGGAGGAGAAGATATAGACAAGAAGAAAAGAGCTGAGCCTGCTGATTGTCAAATGGTCTAATCAACTGCACTACGGTCAGGTGACACTGTCCTATCTCAGCCAATGGCTAGACCTCTTTTTTTTTAATGAACAAGTTAATAGAAAAAAAGTGTTTCTTGGCACATTTCTAGGGAGCATTGGACACCCTCACACCAGACACCAGAGGAGTGAGGAAGAGAGAAACAGAATACCCAGCTCCTTGTGAATGTGGGCCCTAACTACCAAAGCAACAGCTCATAGGTTGGGAGAGTGGAGTTATTTGGTGGTTGTGAGGAGCAGGATGTTTTACAGGGCAAGACAGAGCCTGGTGAGTCACAGGCAGGGGTGCTGCTCAAAAGCTTAACTTGAAAATTAAATTAAAAATTAATTTACAATATGGCAGTTTGAAAGTCTTCTGCTGAGTCCCCCCACTGCTAACAATTGACCAGTGGAGGATTTCATCTCACCACCAGATAACAGATAATTTATTACTACTATTCTACTCCTAGTATTACTGCTGTGATGCTGGCAGACCCAGTCAGATCAGGGCCCCAGGCCAATAGACTTGTGTACTAATATAGATCAAAATGAGTGTAAATGTAAGAGTATATTCAGGTGTTTGAACTTCATGAAAAGTAGTGGAATGTTACTTGTATTATTTTCATTCATTTGTTCCCGTTATAATGTAATAGCAAACATTTACATTGTGTACACCCCTGTAACTAAATAGCCCAACAAAGAAATCTTGTGAAATGCCAATGAAGGACTTAAACAGAAAATGTTAATTTCAAAGCATGTGGCCATTATGTATGATGGTTCCTCACTTCCTGTCATCAAAAGAAAAGCCCATGTGTGTAGAGACACTGTCAGCTTGCTTTCAGAGTGAAGAAACTACAAATATGGACTCATGGAAAGATCCTTCATCTCTGGACTGGTTGGACTTTTACAGGGAAGTGGACCAGATGCAAAGCAGAGATCCCCAGAGACAATCTGGATACCCTGAAAAGACTTTTGGGAGTCTGGCAGTTTATTACATCACTGCCACCATTTGGAATTACAAACAGTGACTCACCGGTTATATTTTACCTGCTTTTACCTCTCAATAACTCATTTCCTTTTCTTAGCTAATAAACCTACAATTAGTTTACTACAGAATTGACTGCCAGCATTGTCTTTGGTGTAAGCTCTGGAGTACCAATTGATCTGGGGTAAGTGGCTGACCACTTGGGATTGAGAGCAACCTGATATGGTGTGATTTTTGGTTTAAGTGACCATTTTATCACAAAGTCCAGTCTATGACTACATGGTAAAGTAGTATAGTGATTCAGGAGTTCACATTTGTTACTGGCTTGGTGAAATCTAGTTATAGAACGTACCACCAGCTTAGGGTATCTGCCCTGTTTTGTGGCAGTCTGCCCTGAGGTAGGCACTCAGGGTTGTGAGCCACTGCAGACAGTGTGACAACTACTACTGCTTTTACTATAGTAGGAATTACTAAAGACATGCTATTTCATTGTACAGCAAATCTACTCCTTATAGGTTTACTCCTTTATTGTATAAACATTCAAATCCACAAACATAAATGTCACTTTCTGTGCACCAGGTTAATTGGCTTATGGAATTTTATTGGGTCAGGTTATTAGGATAATATTTTTAATATTAGGAAATTTAAGAAGAATGTGAAAGGAGAAACCCTGAGCTTTCTGAAGTATAAAATGAATTTCTGTTTATGTCCCAGCATTTACACTAGCAAGGAGCAAATTTCATCACCACTTCATGGAAATAGGAGAAGTTGCTTTGGACATCTGGGTAATAATTTGTGAAGCTAATAACTTAAAAAATAATAATCTCCCAGAAACGAAGGTGGATCCTGAAATCAAAGAGTTATGAGCTAGAGTCTTTTTTTTTTTTTTGTGAGAGTTAAAATGTGGCAGCTGGAAGTTATGGGGACACACGGGGACCTGCTCACTGACAAAACTGGTTCATCAGAACGGCCCAATCGTCAGTCTAGTCTGGTAGCCTGCCTTCTACTGCAACCAGCATCACAGTAATACATAATATGCATAATTGTGCAATGCTCTGTTGTGAAAGGAAGCTTCTCCTGACCCCAGCTGCTGATTAGCTTTATACCCTGAAGCATAAGGGCTGATAACTTTCTTCTTGTTATTCTAGCTAGTTTAATTGCAGTATTGCCCTTCAGAGACATCTAATCTTTTCTTTTTATGTGGACACTTACTAAGCTATTTGCCTCAGTAAATGAATGCAGCAGCAAGTTCCACGTGATCCTGGATGATAAAAGTACTGTAGAGTAAGGGCTCATCCAAAGTTCACTGAAGTCAGTGGAAAGACTCCCATTGACTTCAGTGGGACTGGATGAAGCATTACACCCTCCTAGACATATAATAGGCCTACTTAGGGTGACCAAATGTCCAGTTTTTAAACGGACAGTCCCGTTTTTTGGGACTTTTTCTTATATAGGCACCTATTACCCCCTTCCCCCTGTCCTGTTTTTTCACAGTTGCTATCTGGTCACCCTAGGCCTACTGTAACTAGAAGCTGCTCTGTATAAAGTGTGTGCATATTACAGTCCAAACTTACAATAAAACAAACTGCAGAAAGGGGGTAAGTTAACCATAAAGGCGCACACACCTCTGCCTAAACTTTTTCCTCAAGTTTGGCTGTTGCTAAGGTTTTTCCCTTCATGACCTCCCTTGTCCCAGCCTCTACTTCCCTCTGCCTTGGAGTAAGACACTCAAATCCCTCTTATATCCTGTCTGGAGTTAAAGAGATCCATCTGCTAGCAGAAGCCACAGTAGTTACATCTTTATATAGGGTTCTAGTACCTGACTTTAGGGGGATTTAGCATAATTCAGCATTCCTGTGCAGTGCCTTAGAAAGTGACACCCTGTCTCTCACTGATATTATATACATTTTGAAAAAATATATTTGCAAGATCATTTGCATCTTCAAAAAGCACTATACAAACATTAATCCTCAACAACCTGTGGCAGGGAAGCAGTAGTATCCTCAGATTATAAATACGGAGACTAAGGGCACGTCTACACTGGCAGAGTTACAGCGCTGGCAGTTACAGCTCCGCTCAGAGAGCACTGAAGGGAAAACGGCTGTTGTGTGTTCACACAGTCAGCTGACTGCACAATAGCATGTAAACACTTCCAGCACTTGCAGCGGTATTTGGAGCGGTGCACTCTGGGCAGCTATCTCACAGAGCGTATCTTCCTCTTCTCCCGCTAAGAGTTGTGGGAAGGTGGAGGGGGTCGCAGAGCATCCTGGGTCCTGTCCCAATGCCCCGTGATGCATTGCTTTGCATCCCAGCAATCCCTGTGCTTCCGTCCGCATTTGGCGCCATCTGCACACTCTGCCTCTTCGGTTTGCAGGAATGAATCCTGCACTGTTGACCAATACGCTGCTCGCTCTCACTAACATGTCACGAGTGGCAGTGGAGTTATTCCTTAAACTACAAAGGCAAAAGGAGTGCAACATCGATCTTGCCATGCATAGTAGCTACCACACGAGATTGTTTGTGGCATTCACGGAGATGCTGATCACAGTGGAACGCCGCTTTTGGGGTGGGGAAACAAGCACTGAGTGGTGGGATCTCATCGTCATGCACGTCTGGGATGATGAGCAGTGGCTGCAGAACTTTCGGATGAAGAAAGCCACATTCATGGGACTGTGTGATGAGCTCGCCCCATCGTGCGGCGCCAGGGCACAAGAATGAGAGTTGCCCTGACGGTGGAGAAGTGCGTGGCGATTGCACTGTGGAAGCTGGATACTCCAGACTGCTACTGATCGGTCGCTAACCA